TACGAGCCAATTCTCCTTGAAGTTGTAGCCTTGTTTTCACAACCTAAATGTAAAAGTATTAGACATTGAAATATTATGTTCACACCTCGATAATACTAACCTCCCAAGGATTTGTGAAAGTGACTGCAGCACATGCTGCTGCCCCGCCGATAAGAAAGCCCGGAATAGCGCTGATGGTTTCTTTGGCAGTAGCTCGATTAATTTGTTTTGTTGATGTTGCCATAAACCATTTCAACAAGCAAAATCGTCTCACATAAATATTCGCATCTAGACAACACAATCAATCGGTTGTGATGATCTTTTCTATTTTTTCCAGAACATGTGATAGATGGGATTTACCTATTTAGTAAAACAAATACAAGTTTATCTTTTTTTACTTTTATTAGAATATCCTTTCTTGTAATTATCGATTATACGAATATTTCAATGAAAATACAGAGAACCTCCTCTAAATGCTTATATCATATTTTCCTTTTCTAATGCATGGTCAAGCTTGCATATTCTCTTTACATGCATAGTTTCAAAAAAATCTTTATATGGTCTTATGAGAATGTATTTAGGAGTGGTTTTCTATATATTGATATATTATTATAAAAATTCAAATTAAAAAATAAATAATATTAATAATATTGAATTCTATAGAAATGATTTGTAGACTATAACTCTATTAAACAAATTGGATCTTAATCCTAATTAATAGATAAGCAATATATTATCTTCATAAATCATATTTAGAGACTTAATGTTATGGATGAGTGAGTTGAATTGAGAAGATTTATACATATAATTATAATTGTAATGGTTTAATATAATTTAATAAATAAACAATTCCAGTCTGATTGAAGGTTTAAAAAAAAATTAAAATATAGCTAAACTTTATTATAATACAAGTTTGTATCTAATTTTATTTTATTTTAAATATTTAAATATTATTTTTTATAATTTTTTCAATGAGACCTGTGGGTCTATAGCACAGTGGTAGAGCTCCCAAATCCAGATCACAAGATATTAGTTCAATCCCAGGTAAAGGCAGTTGAATAAGAATTAATATAGTGTTTGGAACCATGATCTGCCAAAGCACTGTTTTTTATAAGAAGCCAATTCACATGTTGATCCAGTAGGCATTAAGATTGTGATCTCCAGAAAAGGTGTCGTGGCGTAACAATCATCTGATTGGTGCTATGATGATTACTGGAAGTAGGAAAAATCCAAAAAGGTATAGAAGACATCCAGTTTAAGAAAAAGATAGCTTGGTAATCCTTTCTCTATGGTACCTGATGTCTCTTCCTGCAAATGTACTTCTTCTTGAAAAGGTTCTGATGATCCAGTTTGGGTTAGAAGGGTTTCTCTTTACAGAAGTTCTATTTGCTATAATAGGTACTACTCCAGTTCCCTCTTCACTTCCCCTTAATATATGCATAGTTAGAAATAGAACTTATATAGTGTGAATATACCATAAACTAAAAGTTACAAGCTAATGGAGTCTTGGCACATTAGCTTATGCCTCTGTTCTTGGATAAGCTGACAGCAACAAGCTGATATGTAAGTTTCTTAGATATAGCTTTATTCACGTATAGTAAACTATGTATAATACACTATATAATATGTATAATGGTATTAAATTATCAATAAAGCAAGGCTCAGCTGGTGTTTAAAATAAGTTTAAATAATTTTTTTCAATTATTATAATTAATTAATATTTGACAAATATTAATAAAATTAAATAAAAATAATATAGTATTTTTATTATTCAGTATATATCAAATTGTTGATAAGTATCAATATGATGAATATTTATATTTGAATGTTTGATAAGTAACAACATATCAAATGAAATTATTTTAATTAGTAAAAAACAACTATAAAAAATCATAAATTATTATATTTTTTAATAATATATATAAAATCAATAATAATTTTTTTTAATATTTTCTTTATATAAATACTTGTATAATTTTATTTTTACATTTTTTTTTATGGTTTTTATAAAAGATAATATAACTTAACTTAGAAAAATAATTCATAAAGATAAATAAATAAAATAAAATAGGTTTATATTTACACCTATTTTCTTGATTGCGATGATTTATATGATTTAATAAGTAAAGAATGCCAGTTTAATTGTAAAATTTTTTTAAATAATACAACTTTAATAATTTTTATTCAAGTATCATAATTTACATTTTGGTTTATCATTTAAATTATTTGTTATGCTTTCTGATTAGATAATTTATATAAAAACAGCTTCAATTATATTGTACCACAACTTTTCCATTACCGGTTTGAATATGAAATAGACGAATTGACAGATTAATGGTTTTTTTTCTTAAGTAATTTACATCAAGCGCGTTAGTAATCAAATAAAGATTCTGTATTTGTCATATGGTATGACTATTTATCTTTTAAAATATTTTCATACTTATTTTTTTTTTATTGACCAACGAGTATTTTTACTATAAAATTTATTAAAAATAATTAATTATGGAATTATATAATGCATATTAGTTTAAATTCCTGAATTTTTAATATTATCATATGATTAAATTTTTTTAAACGATACCAATTTAATAGCAAAGTGCGTAATAGGTTTCCTTTAAAATAGCTGACATAGTTTTAAAAAATTCCACAATAGACTTTATTTAAATTAATCACAATGTTATTTTTTTATAATTTCAAATACTTCGTAATCCTCTATCGAAAAAGTTTCATTATTTTCTCTAATGGGCCTTTCATAACTAATTTCTTTAAAGCACCTGCCTTTCAAATCTTTAGTGTCACCTATATCCATATATAATGCAGTACCAAAGTTAATACTATGATTATTCTGATATTCCGCTTTATAGTAATAAATAGCGAAATTGGTTTCTTTCACTCTGCTAAGAATTGAATTCTGAATACTGCCATTTTTTAGCGAAAAAACAAAACTATCATTTGTACTCTTCCAATTTCCTCCACCAGTAAGGTCGCAGGCACCGCCACCAGTAAGGTCGATAACTCGTCCACCAGTAAGGTCGACTGAACCGTCATCATAAAATTTATCCCATCGTAAAGGATTATATCCACCAAGAATTTCATCAGTTCCGGTCACCCTTATGATCACTACTGTGTTTGAATGGCCATGACACATATCCCAGAAAGTTTGTGGAGCAAAACCATCACGACTTCCTCTTAAAATTAATTGAAATTTATACGGAAGATTTTTTTCTGAATAAGTTGTTTCTTTGCGATCGATCCAGGACGAGATTTCGGAGACATGTTCTTTAGTGATTATAGTGGAAAGTGGATTGATGTCTCGATCAGGTAATTTCATATCTCTAGTCTTTCTTGGTGGCAAAATAGTTGAGTTAACTGGTTCATCGGGAAGCATCAAATGTTGTTTTAAATCACTCCAGAGATTTTTATCAAGAATTTTTTTGTATGGCTTAACCTTCTTTAAAAGTTCAGCAGCAGAGAATTGAAAGTAACGGATATGAGGTAAGCAATGTTGCAAGGTTGTTTTTAAAGTTGAAAAATCTTCACTTGTCCATTCTTCGAGTTTTAAAGGTAACGTAGGATTCTTGGAAATTCCCCAATTTATAATCTTTTCCCAGATTTTAATCTCTTCTATTTGCAAGTCATCTCGTTTAATGAGAGAAATTAGAGCAGATTCCTGAAGGGAACTGAAATCCTCAGCATCGAATATGATATTGGGATATTTTGCTACAATATCATTGCAAAACTTTTCCAAATCTTTGAGATTGTCGCTCTTAAAAATCGAACGATAAACAAATGAAAAGTGTGTACGTAACCAAGGAGCTTTGTTTTTAAGAAGATGACTTTCTAGTTGCTTAGATAAATCTTCAAGTTTAATACCATCAGCAGATATCATTAAATCAAAAATAAATGCATCATCTACGTTTTCTAGAATAACAATTCCACTATATATATATCTAATATATATATATAGTACGTATACTGTATTAGTTTCCACTGTAATTTTATTTACATTAACTAGTAAAAAAGAAATACTTACTTAATAATAACTGCAAAAACTTGAGATGTTATATCCGGTAATAAAATCATCTTACTACTGTCGTTCTTAGGAATTTTGGATAATTCCGTGCGAAAATAAGAAGACCGATAATATAATACTGCAGAGTGAGCAGTAAATGATTTCTTATCTTGGTCTTTACCAACTTCAATTATCACGTCATAGTATATCTCGTCATTAAGGATTTCTGAAAAGTCTTGGGAAAGTTTATCAAAAAGTTTAAGAGACATTCCTGTAAAACAAACTACGACGGTATAGAATACAACACGTACGCAATTTAAAAAGCATTTGGTGCGATGTGATTATATCGAATTATGCGATGTTATGCGATTATAAGCACTGTACGTATATCGTAATAGACTCGTGAGATACAGTATACAGTATTAGTTTTGTAGCATGGTAAATTTATTTACAATATGCGATAAGTTTTATCATCAAATTTGCATTATTTATATTTTTCGTCTCAAGTTTTCAGATAATACGTAATAGATTTAGGAAAGGAAGGGTGAAAATACTGTAAAAATCAAGATATGGAGCGGTAATTTGAACAATAAAATACTCTACATAAAGTGGAAGGACAAGTTTATTTTTTCTCAATGATAGGCAAGCTTTCCCATTCATACATCTCCAAATACGATCTGGTCTTCTTTCTTCCAATAATCTGTGACATTAGTACAGATTTTATTTATATCACCCTCATGCATGTTAACCTCCACCATTGCTTCTAACACTTCGCGAACTTCGCACACTACTACTTCTACTAGGTCTTGGCCGTCTGCTAAGTCCTCCAGGAGGACCACCTTTCCGTTTTATCAAGGGACCACCGGGTCCGTAGCCTATGGCGTTCTCGTATCTGAAATATTAATTCGAGTTAAAAATTTGAAGGTCGATCTTTTGTTAATTGATTGGTCAGTACGCACCTATAAAAACAATCATAATTATCTCCAAAGTTTGTTTGGATCGAACACGGACCCGTGGATCCAATAGTAGGGAACCAAATGTGATGTAAACCGGTGAACGCGTTACCCAAGAATAAGCCGTTTTTGGTGAAGAAGACACCACCTGTCGCTGGGTTATATCTGCCAATGACGGAGATTTTTTATAATTTGCTTCCTCGTATGTATGCATATATATTTCTTTCATGTGATACTCACGCACACCCGATCGTATCGCCAACCTCACCCCAAGCTGAGCCATAATTTTGACCACCTGTA